TTTTTAAATATCAAACATAATAATAATTAAATAATACAAATTAAAAAACATTATAGATAAATAATAGTAATTGTATCAAATTTAAATGTCAATATTACTTTTCAAAAATTTAGTCAGTTCGAAACTTATGCTATTTTATTCCTCTTCTTTTTATCTGTATGACTTCTTTTTTGGTTTATTGATTATGCATAAACATATTATATATGTAGATATTTAATGCGACTTAAAATAGGTATGTAAAATAATGAAAAATCGAGAAAAACTTTTAATTTTTGGCAGCGGTGGACCTTTCGGTTGCCCATTTATAAAATTCCTTTGTTTATTTAGCTTTTCCGAATTCATTTACTTATTAAGTTTGTTTAATGTCACTTGAACGAAAATTGAAAGGAGACAGGGGCAGGCCTAATAAAAGAAAATTTGCATACAACAAAATGTAACAGAAAACCATTTGTGTAAGAGCAATTGAAATAAGGTAACTGTGATATCAATTTGATATTGAAGCCCATTGGGTCAGATGGGGGCCCGGGTCAAGCTGGAATCTGCCCTGTTTCTTGCTTACCTTCCCGTTGGCATAAGCAAGACGAGCAGAAGCAGGGGCCGGAACTCGAAAAGAAGTAAACAATATGCAAAACATGTCGAAGGCGTGCTGACCCAAACCCAGGCGGAAGTGGACTGCATATCACGAATACGCAGTGGAGTCCGGGTCATGACTCTGCATACTGAAGAGCCCGAGGATGTTCGAGAGCAAGGTCAGCCTACGCCATTTAACATAAAATGTCCAATGTCCATTAGTTCCGACTTGCAGGGCGGATTCAAAGTTTACTTTTTGCCCTGCACAGATGCTCAGTAAATGTCACCGAATAAATATTTAATAAACATAAACGAGACGCACACAACGAGAAAAATCTGTTCGCTCAAGATTTAAAACAAAAAGGAAAGCTGCCGTGCCCCTTGGGTCAATGTCTCTTTGTCTTTATAAAATTGCATTCGATATGGAACTTGAGTTATAACAGTTTATTGATTGGTCGATTGGCAATGCCTCGGTAACTGGGCACAATTAAAAGGCAGACAGTAACAAGCTTAATGTGTCCTTGTGCTGAGTAAAAGCTTTTCTCTGCTTTAGCCTCCTCCGTTATTTGTATTTCTTTTCTGTTTGTACCGCGTTTAAAGGCCACAATTGAGCCGAGGCTGAGAGGAAGCCAAGGGAAATCGAATACAATCGCTTTTCACCCCCGGGAGTGCCGGCGAAGTTTGTGCAGCGAGCGCATTTATTATCTACGTAATTAATATCCAATTAATATTCGATATTTTGAACAACTTTCTATACAATTAATTAAATTTCCGGCCCCTGCCCGACCGGGGTAACACATTTTTATGTCACATCAGCAAATTGCAATCCGCTGCACGGCCAACGGAGCTGCCTATGCACACTCATTAACACAACAATAAAATACAAACGCCGCCGGGGGGCGTGGACAATTAATGTGACTGACACACATGCAGATTTTGCCGCCGTCCGCGTTGTCATATTTGATTTACAGTTGCAATTTACGCACTTTCCGAGGGAGGAGTGCCGGGATCGGGAGTGGGTGCGGCCGGGTCCTCTGGCGCTGGCCGACAGCTGTCCACGTCAGCATCCGGCTTCTGTTTGATGTTGTTAATTGATTTTCAAAGTCAACTTGCGTGCGTCGGGGGCGGGGAAAGGGGCGGTCCTGTGGGAGGCTCGGCCGGCTTTCGCTTTCGCCGCACTCGGAGATTAGCAGGGCAGTGTAAAATGCATCTCCATTGAGGCGCAAGCGACATAAAACCAATTCCCAATCCGCATTCGCCGGACAGTTTACAGACTGTGGATCCTGCCCCATCCCGCAGCACCGCTGCTCTCCCTGATGCGCATTGTAAGTGCAGTGAAGCGCATTTGCAGCTGCAATTGCCAAGTGGATTTCGGAGTTGTTCCTGCAGCACGGCGGGGGCGACCGCGGGAAGGGGGCTCGGTACGTGTTTGTTTTATGTGTGACCATTGTCCAGCGGCCCATGGACATGTGACTGTATCTGTTGTCTGCCCTGGCATGCGGTTCAATCAAAGCGATTTCCAATGTCCACAAAATTGCGCAAAAGGACATTTTGGTAATTTCAACGACGTCATCCTCTGCAGCAGCCAGGAGCGGACTTTGCTCTGAAGAGGTTTGAAACCAAAGCAAGACCTGATTTGTCGATCATTTTGACTTTCTGTCTTTTGTTGATAAATAAACAATTACATATGTATTACTTAATTTAATTAAAAATTTAAAAACCATTTTTGTTTTAACAAGAACCAAATCAATTAGCTTTAAGCTATATCTTACTAAAAGTTGGTACTATTTAAAAAGCACCTAGAAGTCTAAATGTTATAACCACACAGAGTCAAATCCACTCCTGGCCTCTAGTGCTGCACTTGTTGTTGGTAATGAGTTTGGTTTTACTGTTTAAATTTAAACGTACTCGGTGCCGGCAGGGGAAGCAGGTCCACGGGATTGCCTCCGGACGAGGCTAGAGTTCTAAAGTGTATTTGCATTTAACGCTAAATGCATTCCGGCAGGGCCTGCGGTGGGCGAGTGGCGGGAGAGATCCTGCCTGCGGGCGGAAAAACATGACAGTTGCATTAATTTTGATTGCGTAAATATTTTAAGTGTGCGGATTGCGAGAGCTCTCGCAAAAATGTTTGCCAAAGGCCCACGGCCTGGTCGGGGGTGGGCTGGCGGTGGCACGAATTAAGTGATTGCAATTGAGATGAGCTGATTGTGGGATCCGGGAAAGCACAACTCGCACTTGCAGCGAGGGCTATGCATATTTAAAGTTGGCTGAAGGACTTGCAGCTAATGGAGAGCCTCCCAGTTCGATGAACCCCCGAATGGAATGAGCTCCGAGAGTTGGCCACATTTCTAATTATGCCAACAAAAACAGCCGCATTCTGAAGCCTTCAGAACCATCCCCCCCATTTGGAGCTAATTTGAGACGCCAATAAAATGATTCACCCACAAATATTCCCGAGCAAAAAGTGCATCGAAATTTATGGGCACGTAGCCAACATAAAACTTTCAGACGGATTTGCCGGATCCAGCTTTGCCGCATGAAGTGATAATTTACTTATCCGCCTTCCCCCAGCTAACACGCTTCCGAGACGATTTACACGATGCTAACATCAAAGTTTATGATGTCTAGGCCGTAATTAATCGAGATTTGTTGTGAAGGGTAGAGGAGGGAAAGTGGGCACATAAAACTTTAACAGTTATCTGAATATTTACATGAGCATCGCGACAAAGTTAATAAAATCTGTAACATGGCCCATTGAAGCGTCATTTCTGACGGCAATAAATACACTGATAGTTTCAGTTACGAAATTATTTAGCCCTTAACTCGGTACGCCTTTAAATAGCTTAATTGTGTGTTTATTCTCATTTATTTTCCGTTTCCACGCCTTGTCTGACCCTAGCAACTCAACGCAATTAAACCCTAACCGCATTATCTCCAACTGCCTCTGATATTCAGCATCCCCATTACAAGTTTTTCGTTTTCGGTCGACCAATACCGCAATGTCTGCGGCATGTGGGGAATTTTCCCATAAGACTGCAATTCTGTCCTGTTAAAAAGGCACATCCGTTTTTGGGTGAAAATTCGTGCTGAGTGTATCAGGGCTTGCACTTTTCTTTGCTTAAGAATGTAATTATATATAAACGTATATATTTATAGAGTATTTAAAAGATTTGAATTTGTTCATAACGAGCACAAAGATAGTTTATAATTAATATAGTTATTTGTGATACGTAAATGTTTAATTTTATAATCTCACTGAAATTTGACGTCAGAGAGGTGGTAAAAATGGTTCAATACCACTCTTTTGAGACTGATTCTCGAGAAAGTTCTCACAAAAGCTTACTGGCATAGAAAATTTCTACTAGAAATAGTTGTACACATAATCTGACTAACGATCTTTTTGTTTTTAAATCATTAGAATTACAGGATCAGTAATTATTTTTTGTTTGCATTAAATTTTATTTAATAATTGCAAAATATGTAAAATCAATATCATACTCTCGACTGGAGCAATTTTTTCTTTTTCGTATTACTCATTTTCTTTAGCGCATTCATAGGGTATTTTTTGGTCCGAAATTACACATTTTGTGGTATTTTTTCTCCTCACCATTGGCTAGACATCCTTTGGATTGAGAGAAAGAAAGATGCTTAGGAAACAAAGGGCCTGACTGTCTCCTGCTTTGTGGCGATAGCTGGGAATTAATTAAATGCCGCGGCGAGTGAAATTAAAATAAAAACGTCGAGAGCTGCTGGAGGGCAACTTAATGCGAAATAAGTGTAGCTTAACGTAAAAGTCGTTAGTTTATTAGGGTTTGTAATAAGAGGATAAGTTGAATTGAATAAGCAGGGCTTAGTTTCCAGCCCAGACAGACACCTACGAGTAAGCCATAAACAATAACTTCGAGACACAATGACAAACCCAGGGACGAGTGGGCGGTAATGGAAGAACTTCCTTTTCTGGCCAGCCATTGCAGCAGAAAAATAGCAACTTTTGACTTCCGCTCTAAAAGTTTAAGTTCATTTCCGCCTGAGCTAAGATCCAAGGCGAGGAATTAATTAGAAGTTTACCGACACACGCGACCGGGCTTCGTGGATAGCGTGAGCGGGTTAGCTTTTCTTTGTTTTACCTCGGTCCCTCGTTTCCTGCGAGTTATTGGCCAATTCGCCAACATTTTTGGGTTATTCGTATCTATTTGCAGCTAGAGTTTCCGATTCGGCAGGGTCGAAGAAGTCGAGGATTTATGTGTCATACTTTGAAGTCCTTGAGCAAACAACTGTAATTAGAGGCCAGCAGTTGATGTACTTTGTACTTTTAGTTTTTAATTTCAAATTTCAGGCACCCTATTTACATATATTTACTATACATGTGTGTAGTTTTGTTACTCTAAACGTGAGCAACGCTTTTTCAACTCCGTTTCCCTTCGTTGCAGGCCTCAAGGATCCAAATTTGGACAGACACACCAGTAAAGGTGAGTTTGGGGCACCGATAGTGCTTTCGAATCAAAAATTAATTAAGAAGCCACTGAAGATGTAAATTTTGTGATGGTTACAAACCGAAATTTGTTTCGTTTCGACACAAAGTAACCGAAACAAAGGCTCCTCACTGCAGCTCCTGAGCTCCAGCCCACACACTGGCTCCGGCCCAGCCGCTCGCCACAATAACTATAAATTCCCAGGCCCAGGCAACCGCAATACCGCCCCAGCCCCTTAAAACATAAACCAAGCGGCTCTTTAAAACGCAATCAAGCTGAAAATTAATTAAAATTTTCAGGCGGGATATGAAATTAATGCGTGGCAGGGGGGACGGCAGCGCTTCGTTCTCCGCTAGATGCCAAAGGGTTGTGCAAAGGTAAAGCCAAGGTTTAAATTAAAACGCACTTGTTACTGTCTTAGACGTCGTCGTCTCGATTTCATTAAAAATGTTTTTATGCGCGCATTATCCTTTCACTCGGCGCCGTCGGTTCGTCTTGGCACTTTCCCTGCCTCCTTCCCAGGGACAATTTAATTTGGCTATGAAACGCTTGCCGCATCCTTGACACTTTCACTTTTTCCCCTCAGTGCCGATTCACCTCGCCAGCCCCCAACCCTTCCACTTCCAGCAATGGCTTGTTTTAAGGAGCTTAAGCTTGTCATTGGCATTTGCCGAGTTGCTGCTTGGCCTGGAGAGCTCTCATAATTTCACGCTAGGCGAGCACACACGCGTCTCTACCTTTACTGCTGGCCTCCACGAGGACGATTTCGCCACCAGCCCGTCCCAAGCCAGAGTTTTCGGAGTGCGGTCGCCAAGGATATCGCTGAAATGCAATAAAGTTGAGTGCGGATTCGGGCAGAACTGCGTTTCGAATCAGTTTTTCCTCCAGCCCGATCCAAGGCGCTTGACTCCCACATGACTTTGCTGTGCTTTGAAAGGGAACCAAAATAAATCAAATTCGATTCCGGCTTGGCCAAGGAGATTGGACGAACTTCGGCGCGGAGTCCTTCGCCTGGTCATCCCCGTCCGCTGTTGTCTTTATTACTTTCTGATGAATGTTGCGATTTGACTTTCGGCGAAGCAGAGGCAGCGCAAAAAATAATACTCATCGCATGCTTGGGGGCCATTGAATGGATTCATTTCGGGGTATTCATATGCTTTTAAGCGAATTAGTCTGGCCGGCTAATGTGATAAATGGATGCGGGAGACAGAAGCTGGAGCTGAAGCTGAAGTTAAGCCGAAGCCGAAGCCTGCTGAACCCTTCATAATTATGCTTGGAGCTTCCTGCAGAGATGAGCTGCAAGTCATGCCATAGACTCAGAAGCCCAACTCCTGCTGCCGCCGCCAGGAAACTCCATTTAATCTCATAAATCAAGGGCCAGGGGAAGCCCTCCGAGGTCGGACAGGGGCACCAAAGGAAACGGCACATATCATAACATTTAACATATTTCACTTAGGCAAACATTTAATCCGGCAACTTGTCTGGCTGCCGCCTCCCCCACCTGGGCATAGACCACGACCACGTTCCGAGTGCAGGCGCGGAGGCTACATTTTCATTTCCGCTGGCGTTTTTACTTTTATTTCATATTGCACGATATCAAATAATGAATATCAAATGAAATGCTTATCATTTGTTTGCCAAGCCGCTGGTGTCTAGGAAGTGGCAACTGGGGGCGATCCCACTGCCAGGTGGCAACATATTATAATATTTACTTAATTTTCATTTCTAATTCGGGCGCCTTTCCTTCCTTCGGCTGGGGGCATGAGGCATATTAAATCGCTACTCGAGACGAGGAGTTGGCCAAGACCTTGGCACTGGCAGACGGGGGCAGAGAGAAAAATTGGGAAAACCCGCATAATAAGCAAGCCTCACAGCCAACTTGGCTGTTTGTGGGCACAAAGTCGAATTTTTTTGGGGAAAGTGATGGCAGGACTCATGCTGAAGCCCCTCTGGCTGGATGGGGGGCTGTTGATTCTTGCAGGTGGCTTAAGCTGCGTCTAAAGCGATAACGCAAATTATTTGAATTTTTAATAAAACGAAATGTGAATACCGCGCTTCTCCGTCCTCCAATTCATCTGCCACTGGCGTGGCTTTGGCCAAGAAGGGGCTTCGGTGATACCCTCCTCCGAGCTCCTCTCAGCCATCGAGCTGATATATTCAAATACGATTCGTGGCCGCCATTTTCCTGTCACTGGCTGTGAAAATTCACAGCTTTTCCTCCGATTTTCTGGCTAATCTTTGGTCAGCGAGAACTCTGACTGCGCCCCGCCCGCTGTGTCTGTCGCCCTGTTGTCTATTCGCTTTTTTGAAATTCCAATTTGAATGCTTGGTGGTTTCTCCCCGGGCCCCTTCGGACGTCCCTTCCAGCAGCCAATATTATATTATTCAAGCCATCGCGTTTGGCGGAATCTCCTCTAACGATCCCCTCCGGTCGTGTCCGTCCTCCGTCGGCACCGTTCGCTGTACTTGAAAATCGTAATTAGAATTGGTAATGTATTCAAATTGACTTTCATTTCCGTTTTTTAGCTGGTTGCTTCGTTTGTTTTATTCTTCTGGATTTGTACGCTTTTCGAGGAGTGACGCCCCGCTCGCAGAGAGATAAGAGCCGATTCCGCCATGATAATATCCGACGATTCGCTCTATCCACGCGCCGGGACCGAGTGATCAACTGCCCAGCACAGGAACTTTCGATTATCGAACCGAGATGATTTTCCAGCCATATTTCAAAATCTCGGAACGCCAAAGTTTTTCCCCGCAGACAGAGAGGCGGAAAAGCAAAGAAACTGAAACTTTTCGACGGCGGGAGCAGCGCCGTAAAACCGTAAAGAATTCAACTAATAAAAATCAGGCATTCAAGTGCGAAAAAATCGCGAAGAGCATCATCAAATAATGTGCCACTCAAGCCCGCCCCGCCCCTCGAACAGTAGTTGAATCCTCGGAAAGACAAATAGAAAAGAAAAGTAAAAGGCAACTTGGGAGCGGAATAAAACTAAGCTGGGTGGATGGCAAAAGTTTGGGCGCCGAATTCGCTGGAATCCGGAGATGGCACCGTGAGGAAGTGCTCCCCAGCCAGGGCCCTCGGGCGGGGCAACCCGGGGAAAATGTGGTGGCCCGAACGCATCCTTGCCTGCAAGACAGGGCCGTGCGTCATCGGAAAGCACTTCGATGGCTGAGCCAGGAGCGCGTGGCGTTCTATTTTTTGTGGATGTGGAAATGGCCACATATTTTCGTTGCTACGAAGCGTGCGAAGTATTTCCCCCATGTGCGGGTGCGGATGTGGCTGGGTCTGTGTCTGCCTCGGTTGACTGTGTGTCTGCGCGGCGGAAAAGCAATTTTCCTTTGTGTCGTGCCCAGGTTTTCGGTTTTTCGGCTGGCATTGTCTTCCACGCTCGCCGCACTGAGCTGGCAAATTTGTTGCAACCGAAATAAACACTTTATTAAATGCATTGGAATAAGCGTGGCCACGGATCGGGAGCTGGGCGGAAGTTCGGCTCTCGGTTTCCCCACACATATGGCAGCGGCTGAGGGACAAACTTTGAGCTAAGTGAATTTGGTGCTAAGCCCGGGTAAGAGATTCGTCGCCAGCAAGAAACGGATTGCTAATGCACTCGCGGAAGCCTCAGCACGGGTCGAGGGGATTCCCCTGACCTCGTTGGCCCGAGAGCTTGTCGCATAAATATCTCGGCTAAACAGGCAAAAGCCCTTACAGATCATTATTTATTTATTTGCTGTTTTCTTTGCATTCTGCTCTTCATTTGCCAAGGTTCATGGCCCTCCCCCTCCCGCTCCGATAATCGAAGGCAGGAATCAAATTATGCTAGAATTGAGATTGATTTTTTATTCAATTTTAATGCGACAAATGCAGGCAGATAAAAAGGCGACAACTCGGAGGACACACATGGCCCGAAGCCCCTGGCCCGAACACGTGGCCTGGATGGGGTGTGATCCAGAGGAGCGCTGGCTGGGCTTGGGAAATTATAGCGGCGATGGCTCACAAGGGAGTCGCACTGGATTAGGTCGTCGCCTGGGCCAAGTCCTTATGGGGAACTTTTTGAATATTACAACATAAATCGATTAGCTTCTATCAGGCTGTGCTTCAGTTCATGTGTGTGTGTGGGTCGAGTGCTTGTGTGTGACGTCTGTGTTGGCACTGATTGACACTTGAAGCGATTTTTGTGCTTGCCTCGCTGGCTGCTGTTTGCCGAAGCTAATGCTGATGCTGCTCCAACTTCCCTGCCGCACCCGCATCTCTGGTGCCATTGATATGCGCCCCACCACTCGGGACATGCCTCCCGTAATAAGCACCCGCACATAACTCCACTGCTCCGGGGAGCCTGCCCTCGACTTGGCACAGCTCCGTAGCTGACCCTGGAAAATTGGCTGCCAGCGATGGGAAGGCGTCGTCGATTTGCAGCATAAATTGAAAGGAAATTAAACATTGAGTGGAGGGAAATGAGACGCTTTGAGCGTCGGGGGAAATTGTTATGTGATAATTGGCGATTCGATTGGAGTTCCTATTGATTGCTCCCGAGCTTAGGCGCTAAGTGGGTCAAAGGACCTGGTGTTTATCCAAAAGATTATCCAGTTTCCCGTTTGTTCCCTACATTACATTTCAATTTGAATCACTTCAAAGCATCAACAACACATCGGCAACTGTCTCCTGAGCTAGTTGACAAATCCTTCCCAGCAAATACCCTAAGCCTGATCCTCCGAGTTGGGTCAAACACAACTGAACAAACTGCAATTAGCGCACACAAACGCATAGTGCACTAAATATGGCAGTTTTGCTAGGGGATGCTGGAGGCGGATTGACATCGATTCGAGCCGCGAATAAGTTATAATTTAACACAAATCAAAGGGAAAATGTGTGGCGAATTTCGAATCGAACACGTCGAAGCCTGGAAAGGCAAGGGGTAGGTAGGCAGTTGAACCAGGCGATGAGTTATGGGGCAGACGAAATCAATTGTCTTGACAACAGACGCGCCATTCCATTGTGC